TGTGCTGACATCATGGCTGTGTTTTTGTGAGCCCTCTGGGTCTCCATATCCTCATCTATAAAATAGGATGATACCACAGACCCCATAGGGTTGGTAGGCAGAGTGATGGAGGTAGGTAGGTCTCAGTATGTGCTCAGTGAACCTTCACGCTCTTCTCCCTTCCCTCCCTTCCCTCCCTCCTCCAAGAGGCTCTCAGAGCATCATTATCAGCCACAGGAAGTTCTGAGCCCAGCGTAGCTCCTGTGGACACTGGGACTGACTTGGCTGGACCCTCCTAGCCCTAGTCTCCCTGGAGGCCCCTGCTCTTCCTTTGAGCTCAGGTTTCACCTTGCACCAGTCTCCAACTTAGTCCCAGACACATACCTGAGTGAGAACCAAAGAAATGGGCAGCTCCAGATTTTTCTGTAGACAGTGTCCGTCAGGACTGTGCAACGTGTATAGAGCACTGGTACTGGCTTAGCGCTTTTCTTACAAACTACAGCACTGCATGTCCACATTCATCCTTTCCTCGCTAAATTTTTGTTGGCAGGATCTTGTTGGCAAGACAGGATCTTGCTATGTAGTCCAGGCTGGCCTTGAACTCACTACACGGCCCAGACTGGCCTCAAACTTGCTATCCTCCTGCCTCAGCCTCCCAAGTACTCTGATGCCAGGTGTGTGCCACCATGCCTGGCCTTGTTGATTTCTTAAAATAATTTTTAAAATTGTATCGGTACATGTTTGCAATTCACGCAGTTTACTGTCGTCTTGGGGAGTGCTTATGTGCACTTACAGCTTGTTTCTTCTTTTTTCATCCCCTTCCCCTCCCCTAGCTCTCCACTTCCCCCTCCAGTTCTATCCCCTTTTTACTCCTTGCTGATATTACCTGTCCTAGCTCATGTTATGGGGTAGAGTGTTTACAGTACTTGAGGTTATTAGTTTCCTGTACGTGGCGCATCTTTATTCCTCATTCCCCTTTCCCCTCCTCCTCACCCCTCAGCCTTGTTCCTTTGGACCACTTTCCTACTGCAAGAGCCCTGTCCCTCCGCCCCTTTCTACCTATCCTTTATCTTTTTCTTCATTTGTACTTTACCTCACTCAAGTGACAGATACTATACAATATTTAAGTTTATGTGTCTGGTTTATTTCACTTAACATTATATTTTCCACATGCATCCATTTGCCTACAAATGTCTCAAATGTGTCACTCTTTAGAGCTGAGTAGTATTCCATTACATACAAATACCACATTTTCTTTCTCCAGTCACCTGTTTATGGGTATACAGGCTGCTTCCAGAATTTAGCTATTATGATTTGCACTGTTACAAACATTGGCAGGCATGTAGGGTGATGACTTAAGGTCTTTGGGGAAGATTCCTAGCAGGGGGCGAGCTGGGTCCTATGGAATTCCTAATTTCAGTTCTTTGAGGCATCTCCATACTGATTTGCACAATGGTTGTACTAGTTTGCATTCCCACCAAAGGTGCACCACAGCCCCACCAGCATTTGCTATTACTTGACTTCCTAATGATAGCCATTCTCTCCCATATAAGATGGAATCTTAGTGTTGTTTTAATTTGCATTTCTCTAATTGGCCTCCTTGATTTTTTAAAAGTGAACTCTGTTTTGTTTTGTTCTGTTTTTCCCTGGGCATGGTGGCCCATGCCTATAATCCCAACACTATAGGAGGCTAAAACAGGAGGATCACAAGTTCAAACCCAGGCTAGGAAACTTAGTGACTATGCAAGACCTTGTCTCAAAAAATAAAAAGAGGTTACAGATGTAATACAGTGCAAAGCCCCTGGGTTCAGTCCCCAGTAAACCACACATGCACGCACACACACACATCCATACACACACGCAAATGATAACATACCTGCAGAAGTGTGCAGATTATAAAAGTACAGCTCAGTGAATTTTCACTGTGTACCTACCTGTGCAGCCAGGACTCATGTCTCCACACAGAGAATTGCCTGTCCTGACCCTCTAATGCTCCTTTAGCCTTCCTTTGCCACACAGACACACATTAACAAATACACACACACACACACACACACACACACACATCACCGCTGTGCCAGCTTTCAGCACATAGATCAGTTTTCACTGCACTTGCACTTTGTTTGTTTGTTTGTTTTTTTGTTTGTTTGTTTTGTTTTTCTCCGGTACCAGGAACCGAACTCACGACCTTGCGCTTGCCAGGCAGGTGCTTTTGCCGCTGAGCTAAATCCCCAGCCCCTGCACTTGCACTTTGTATAAACGGAATCTTTCAGTACTCTTGGGTGTCTGGCATCTGTAGTATGTCTACGAGCCTCATCCCTGATTTTTGCTATTAGTAATAATTTATTTTTTTACGGTGCAGTGTGAATGTATTTTTATATGGACGTACCACAGTTTATACGGTTTTCTATTGGCAGACATTTGGGTTGTGTCTTAGTTCAGGCTGTTATCACAAAATACCACAGACAAGATGGCCTAGCAACAATGGAAAATCTATTCACTGCTGTTCAGGAAGTGAAAAATCAAAGATCAGGGTGCAACATGGTCCAGCCCTGGTGAGGACCCTGTCCAGGTTGTAGATAGCCACTTTCTTACTGGATCTTCCCTCTTGTCAAGAGAGTCAGAGAAAGGTAGAGAGAGCTCTCTGAGGTACTTTTTCTAAGGCCACTAATCCCATTCCTTAGGGTGATAAGGACCTTATCACCTCCTCCACCCTCTAATATCATTGCATTGAGAGTTAGGATTTCATCATAGGAATTTTACAGAGGTACTATTCAGTCTGTTGAAGTTTGACTCCAGTTTGGGGCTATTAGGATGGGTCGCTATTAATGTTTTAGCACATGTTCATGGCTCTGACATGCACATCTTGCCCAGTACATCCTCAGGGAAGGAATTGATGATGGTCATGGGTTATTTGTATGTCTTGCATTAGTAGATGTTCCGAACCAATTTATACGCTCTTCAGTGACTGTTGGTTTGTCCAGTGGCTCCAGAATTTGTAGGATAGCAAAGGAAGGGAGCAAAGACTTTGCTGCCGGGCAGACTGTGAGCAGCAACGGGAATCTGGAAGCTTTCCACTTTCATGAGACACCCCAAGCTGGAGAACTCTGGTGTCTGGGAAGTCGTTGCGATGTGGCGATGATTTGCTCTGGCGTCTGCAGTGGTGAGGGCTCTGGTCTGTAATGAGTGTAGGTGGCTGTTCGAAGTATCCAGGGGAGGAAATCCACCCCCAGTCTCTGCCATCTCGAATATTTAAATGTCAATATGGCTTAATTGGCTGCTCCGCCCACCTCCCCTCTCCTCTCCTGCAGCAGTCTCTGCAAACACACTGCCTCAGACAGCAAGGGAGGGACAGCTTTGAGTCACCCTGGGCTGCCTCCTTCCAACTTACTCGACGACCTTGGACAGGTGAATCAGGCTCCCTGTGAGTCAACTGCCCTTGGAGTCTCACCCTGAACCGGTGAAAAGAAATGAATCTTAGTCAAAGATTACAGGTGGTTACAGGTAGCATTTAGGAGCATACACTACAGGCATGTGGGTGGGTATGTGACAGACTGGATAAGTAGAGAGTAGACAGATGTAATATGTGTATAGATACATCACATTAGTATTTGTGCAGTGTGTGTGTGTCACCATTTTATTGATTATTCACTACCTTTTACGATAAATCAGCATTTATGAGGACTTCCTTCTACACCGATTGTCCTGATAACTGTGAGGCCACCCCATTTCACAGATAATGACATCAAGGCTCAGAGAGCCAATGACTTGCCCAGGGGTGACATAGCCACTACATGACAGATCAGGATTCAAACCCCACAGATTTTGACTCCAGAGCCCTGTGCTTCCAACCACCCTGCCATGCTTCCCACCTGGTACCAGGCACTGTGCCAAACTCTGTATCTCATTCAATTCCTACACTACACTACAAGGTAAGTTTCCTTTGATAGATAGGAAACAAAGGCCCAGGCAGGTTAAGTCTCACCCCACGACACGTGGCAGTGCTGGGATTCACACTGAGATCCCTCTGATCCCTCAACTGCATGGAAATGCAATCTCACAAGGTCTAGTGTATGACAAGGGCTCAGTAAATGCTGAGTGAATGAACACAGTGCCTTCAGTATTTTAGCAATCAAGTTACAGAGTAAAAGAAAAACATGCAAGTTATTTTGATGTAGGTGGGAAATTAATTTCCATAAGGATATTCTTTCATCTTTCAGCCAACATTGGCTACTATCAGCTAGAGGCTGGGGACAGTGATGGATCTAGAATTCTTTCATTCATTCAGTCACTCACTCACTGCATACGGAATGCCCTCTCTACACACCAGGACTCAGGCTTACCACGGAGGCACAGCGTGGATGAACATGTGGCAGCTGAATGAGAAGGTGTTACTGTTACTGCATAATGCGCTTTTTCAACTTGTCGTTCATCTTAAGCCACTGGTCCTCGAAATGAACTCAACGAGGCTGAAAATAGCTTGAAAAACCCTCTATGTAAACAGGCGTCGGGTTGGGGGCAGTGTTGTGTGTATTTACACACCCTCATTTAAAGGACTGATGCATCATTTATGGTGATACTTAGCATGCATCAGCCATGCCTTGCGGTCTTTTAACACTGTCCCTATGCATGGGCCACTCCCCACGGTACGAGCAGCGGGAACGAATGGCCCACAGAGTGCTGAGGGCCATCTGAAGACTCACAAGTGGTTGGTTCATGCACAGCTTCCCACCGGTGAGACCCTGGAATCAACAGCCTGGCAAACTCAGGCTGCCCTGAGCTGCATTCTGGACATGTCTTGCAGCTGAGAAGCTGTTGAAGTTCTTGAACTTCCCCTGCTCTCCCTCCCAGAACCACCTCTGAGAGCCAGTCCCAGGCTTGATAATTATCTCATAGGCATGAGAGCGGCACATCCATTCCATTACTTGTGATGTCTAATAGCCTAATAACTGTGATAGGTCACCTTTTTCTTAGTGACTGCCAATCGCTTTAATAAATGATCTTGTCCTTTTGCTTTTCAGCCTCTGTAAGGGACGGACACTCTACTCGGTGGTGAGGGATGCCAAGATTGTGTTGGATGTCAACAAAACCAGGCAGATTGCCCAAGAAATTGTGAAGGTACTGTAGGCTCTGGGACCCCCACCTAAGCTTTTGAAAGACCTGACTTTTTCTGAGAGGTTCTCCCAGCAATCCTCAGACTGTAGGTCTGGGTTTAGACCATGGTGTGGACTTCAGAGAAATTAGACCAACAAATAGCAGGTGGTGTGTATATAAGAATTCTACCAAGATGGCGTCCTTAGGAATGGCCGACCAGCGTTGGGCTTCCATCCGGTCCCTCATTATCACAGTATGTGGACATGTGTGAAGGCCAGTGGACACGTGTAAGTTGCTTGGTTTTCCAGGTTAGAATCCATTATCTCTGTCCCTGAATCCCCACCAGTGCAAGCCATTTCTCTCAACAGCTGTGGGGAAATGTCAAAGTATTGGTTGTGGTTTTAGATTAAAACAAACAGGAACATCCTGTCTCCTCGCAGGTGCCTTATTAGTCAGTTGTCCTCAGGGTTTATTTCCTATTGGAAGTGTTAGCACTGAACTATAGAGAGAAATAAAAGATGAAACTGCTCGCAGAAGCAAAAACAATCTCTAGATGTTCGCTCTGGAGCTAGTCCCCCAAGACACTCTGCTCTGTGTCCTTGATTGTTCTGTCAGGAAACATCTCCAGCCGGCCTGGGTGTGTTCTGCAGGCGATGGGCTAAGTGAATGGGAGGAGCAGCCTCCCCTGCAGAGGAAGAGCCTTAAAGGAGGCCTGGGGGACAATGGCTGAGGGTATTCCTTTCTCCGGGGACCATATCCCACTTTTATCCCCACTCTTTTCCCTCTGAAGACCTGTTCCTTTGCTTCTTCAGGAAACAGACAAGCTAAATGGAGAGGGCTTTGCGGTGATCTGAGGGTGGTGGCACATTTGTGATGTGGGGACTGTGTGGGCCATGGGGATCTTCTCCTACCCAACCTCCAGGCTCAGTGGGCGGCCCCCAGGCTCTACCACTGTCAGTGTGGTCTCACTAAGGGACAGGGTGTGAACCTACGTGTGGGTGGTGGCGAGCATGGGGGCCTCAGGCAAATCCCTGTGTCCTTGCTTCCTGCAGGGCATGGGCTACCTGCACGCCAAGGGAATACTTCACAAAGACCTCAAGTCAAAGAACGTCTTCTACGACAATGGCAAAGTGGTCATCACAGACTTCGGGCTCTTCAGCATTTCCGGCGTGCTGCAAGCTGGCAGGTGAGCAGGGGCAGAAGGGCCCAGAGGTGTTCTTGGCAGATGACCAGGTAGGAACTGATCCCAAGTGGCTTTAATGACCCAGAGTCAGGGTTGGGCCTGGGGTCACTGAGCTCAGGGCCAAGGCTACCACGTCAATGACGGGGGCCAAATCACTCTTTAATCCCCTCTGGGCCAGCGCCTCCCTCCCCTGTCCTGCTTGGTTCTCCAGGTTAGTCTTCAGGCCAGTGTACATCACTGGGCACAGAGCATCCTAAATCCTACAGAGTCCTTGCCTTGGAGTACTTTCCTGCTATCCTGAGACTCTCTGGAAGTTGCGCTCACTCAGGGGTCCTTGCTCAAAGTTGGCTTAGGAACTAATTAATTTTAGTACAGCAAGAGTACAGCCAGGAGCAAGAGATTTAAAATGAAACCGCCTGCAGCCCGATGGGGCTCTGCCACTTACTAACTGCGGCTTTAATCAAGGCGCACAACTTCTAAGAACTTTAGTTTACTTGACTGCAAGAAAGACGATGCCTGCCTCGTAGGGTCCTTGTGAAGATGTCACACGACAAGCATCCTGCGCAGCTCCCGGTGCCCATCAAATGCCTAGCAAAACAGTAGCACTGCTGAGTTGTGGTAATTAGTGTTAATTTGCATATACCTCCCTGTATCACCCGGGAGAAAGATTAGCCTTAGTTAAGTAATTAACTCTCAGATTTCACTTTCCCCAAAGCAAACTACATTGGGTTGACCGTGGGAAAAGCAGCTTGATGTCAAATAAACAACTCACAATTCACAAGGTCCACCCTTGTGGCTTTTAACTTGGAGTGTGTGCTTGTATGCGTGCTTGTGTGCCTTTTCTCACCACATCTCCAGCAAATGCCCTGCTTCCCCAGGAGGACAGTCTCAGGATTTCTTTTATTGTATTTTACTTTCAGCTGTTTTGGAGAACTGCTCGTTTCTTTGAGGTACACAGCAGGGGCCTCTGAAGGGAATTTTATTCCTGCTCTTTAATACCTTCACGCTAAGCCAGATCACCTGAAATTTGGCAGAAGTTGATGTCACCGTTTCTGCGTGACATAGCAACACACAGAAGTTTCAGTTTCTTTCTTCAGATGTTACCCTGCCCCCAAAGGATTTCTGTGGACTCCAAAACCATCTACAGCACCTGAGATAAAAAATAATAATAATAATAATAATAATCATCGCAAGCTCAAGCCCAGCCTGAGCAATTTAGTGAGACCTGTGTCAAAGTCAAGGGGTAGGGATATAGCTTAATGTGAAAGCCTTGGGCTCAAGCTCCAGTACCACAAAAAGAAAAAAAGAAGAAGTCAACAGTAAACCACCAAACAGATCATTCGCGTGTGGAGACAGTCCCTGAAGTGGCCAGCAGGGACAGATGGGGCAGGATCCTGTCTTCCCACCCAGCACCACTAGTAGCCTGCTTTGCTGTTGAGGGGAACCCCCCATTAAAGGCAGGGCTAAGGAAGCAGCTGGGGACATCACTGTGACCCCAGTATTTGCTTCCAGGTAAAAAGGAAGCTGATAGGTATTTCCTTTATCTTTTCTTTATCTTGGTTGAGGCCTCTTTTGAAAACCAGATTCCTCCCTGTCTGTCCTCTCCAGTTCTCCCCAAGTAGTTTCCCCCAGGTGGAAGGCAGGGTGCAGGGCCCCCACCTTCCTCCCTTTAGATGATTGATTTGCTGAAGCCACCCAGAGAAAAGGAGGAAGAAGAGGAAATGCGGTGAATTAAGCACCTTTCCCTTTAAACTCATTCATGAAGACCCCATACCCATCAGGAAGAAAGTTCAAGTTAAGGACAAAATGGCTTCAGCCTTGTCCAGACAGCACCCTGTCTCTACCTGCCTGGTGGTGAGCACGAACCCAGTTAGTGTCAGGAGAGGCTGGGGAGCCCCCACAAAGGCCACAACAGGAAGTTCACATTTCTTGTCTGCCCGCAAGTAGCCATCGGGAGCTTCCTGTGCTTTCGTCCTTGTCCTAGTTGTAAGTTGTTGTGCAACCAACTACCCCAACACTTGGCGCTGCAGAATAAGTTATTATTGTTCTGCAGGTGACTGGGCTCAGCTGCACTTTTGCACTCATGCTGTCTTATAGGTGCAATCAGGGGACCAAAGCTGGAATCACCTGAAGCTTCCTTATTCTCACATCTGGAACAGTTGGTGTGGCTGGAACAGCTGGGGAGTTGATGGTGTTTGCCTTTCTCCCCTTCTTCATGGCCCTCTTTTCTCCACGCAGCCCCCCTGCATGACCACACTGGGCTTCTCACACCAGAGAGGTCTCAGGGTAACCAGAACCCTTAGAGCAATTGGGTTCCACCAGATGGAGCACGACCAGGCCCCAAGTGGAAGCTGCAGCCTTCCATGTCTGCTTGAGAAGTCTAGAACATCCAGATGCAGTGACACATGCCTGTAATCTCACTGCTTGAAGGCTGAGGCAGGAGAATCGCTGTGAGTTCAAGGCCAGCCTGGGCTACATAGTCAGTTCAAGGTCAGCCTCAATTACAAAGTGAGACTCTCTCTCAAAAAGAGAAACAAAAACAAAAAGAAGTTCTAGAATTTCTTCTATCACATCCTACTGCCAGCAGGTCACTTAAGGCCAGCAAGATTCACAGGGAGCAGAATTAAACACTTCCCAGTGGGAGGGACAGCAAAGATACCACATAGGGCTGGAGACCATGACAGGAAGGTGGAACACTTTGGGTGCCTCATGAGTCGCAGGACTTTTCTCATTTAGTAACCAGCATTTATCTTTAGGTGCAGCCTTTGGGCTCTGTGGGACCATCTTTAGGGGTTCATGTCATGGTTTCCTGCCTCCCATTGGTGAATAGGTACCTCGAGACCAGAAGTGCCCCAAGTTCAGACTGGAACCGCCAGTGCCCAGTCAAAGACCAGGAGATCCCCTTGACTATGGGGTATCCATGGGCCCTGACTGGCAGCCTGGGCAGGTGGTGGAAGACAAGAAAGAGAAAGAGAGATAAGAGAGAGAGAGAGAGAGAGAGAGAGAGAGAGAGAGAGAGAGATTGGGTAGCTGGCCAGGCTGCAGGCACTGTGGGGAGCAGAGGCGTCAGTTCTAGGAGCCAGGCTGGGAATTGCCTTTACTCATGTCATCAGTTGTAAATATGTAGTAAGTACTGAGCAATGTATCCTGCTCAGGCTGCTATAACAAAATGCTACAGCCCGGTGGGTTAAACAGCAAGCACTGATTTTTCTCACAGTTGTGGGAGCTTGAAGTTCAAGATAAAGGCATAGCAAGCTTTGCTTCTGGTGAGGGCTCCCTTCCTGGCTCGTGAATGGCTGTGTCCTCACATGGCCTGGAGATCTGATGTCTCTTCCTCTTCTTATAAGGGATACAAGTTGTATCGGATCAGGGCCTTGGATTCATGTTCTCATCGAACCTTAATTACATCCCTCAAAGCCTTTTCTTCAATTACAGCCACGCTGGAAGTCAGGGCTTCGGCATATGAATTTCAGAGGGAGGACACAATTCAGTCCAGGCACTAGGAGGTAGATGACCAAAGATTATTTGAATTGACTCCCTGAGCCTCAGTTTCCCTGCTTGTAAGGGAGGTGGAGCACACACTCAGAGTACCTACCTCAGACAACTGCTTTAGAGACCAAACAGGGTGGAGGGGCAGAGACGAGAAGGGGGTGCCCAATGCTCTGCTCCCTGGGGGTGCTGACTCCCCAGGAACTCTTGGGGACTGTGGTGGGGAGTCCAGTCTCGGGGCTGAAGACCTGGGCAGCTCACTGAGACTTTCTGAGCCTCGGGTGTTTCCCTGGCTTCAGATAGAGATGGTATTCCTTTGAGCGTGGGCTTATGGACGTTAACAAGTAGGCATACAGTAGGCACCCACCAGGGGGAGACTTGCCTGGCCCGAGGCAGGGCTGGAGGTGGCCCAGGGAAGTGTGTTCCATGCATCCAGACAGAACCCAGGGTACAGCTGTTCCACCATCATCAAGAAAAGGTGTCATCTGAGATGCCAGCCCTACCACGCCAGCCACTGGCAGCATGCTATTAATCATAATAATAACCATAATGAAGATGATTTGGGTTTGTCACCGGTGGGCCCATTGCCATGGGAACAGGACGCCCTGGGGTGTCTGTGCCAGGCCTGGCTCCTGGTCCCCTCCCAGGCCTGTGCCCACACCTGCCCCCCTTGATGGTAACTGTGTGGCCACACTCCTCCTTCTGCCCCGGTGGCCCTGTCATGCCAGTCCTCTGCTGATCCAGCAAGCCAGGAAGAGACAACGGAGATGAGTACTTAGGACGTCTTGGGGGCAGGACATCTCCAAGGCCAGGTTCCTTGAAGGACATTCTTACTCTAGGCTCTAGTCTCAACTCCATCTCTGAGTCCTCAAGATAAAATGTGTAAAATATACACACGTAGTAATTCTGTCCAATAATCAAGTCATTCTGGCCGCTGACATAACCTTGTACCACACACTGTCTCACTTTAATCCTTGCAATAGCTGTGTGACATACAAACCAATGTGCCCATTTTGCAGGTGGGAAAATGGAGGCTCCAGTCTGCTCACAGTCCCACAGCTAATAAACAACAAATGGGTCCTTAAACCTTTGCAGGTGCCCCTGAAAATTCCTTCAACTCTACTACCTCTGGGCTTTGCTAGTGGGTTTGAGTCCTGTTTCCTAGTGGAATATGTATTCTTTATGCAGAGTGCAAGAGCAAACCATGTGTTACTAAGCTGAAACACTAAACCTGGGGCCCTTCCCTGATCTTACATAAATTAGAACAATAATTCTCAACAGGAGCTGGTTTTCTCCCAGAAAAACAGTAGGACAAATGGGCAGTGTGCCCCTGACCACACTGCTTCTGCCACACGTGTGCCGGTCTGTTCTGAGCGTGAGAACGCAGACGCCGGACGAAAGGCCAGTGGCCTGCCGTGGCTCACCTGTGCTGGGCCACCATCGGGGCCCAACTGAAGTTGCTCGGTTTTGCATCTGGCCCAGAATGCCTGTTTTGAGGTCTCTGGAAACACGAGTGCCTCCAAATGGATGTTTCTTCCTGTGTGAGAAATGCAGGGTGGAGAAAGGCACCTTGGGGACCCACACATCCCTCCCAACTAGCAGATGCAACAGCAGCACTAGAACCCCAAATTCCAGGCTCCTAGAGTCTCTATCAGGGTTCTTCCCTCTACCTGGGGCTTCTGAAAGTGCGGCCAAGGGGGTTTTAGGGAAAACGCAAGCAGGCATTTTCCATTTTCACTTTAATGTGTACTAGAAAAGGGCAAGTTTCTGTTTGTGGCCACGCTAAAGGGTAACCTATTAAAATAAAAAGAGGGAAACTCATCTCTAGTAAGTAAACCTCCAAATCTGTGTGGTCAATTTGTTAGCCATGAGCTGTGGACAGCTGAGTAAGTTTAATTTCAATTAAAATGAAATTAAATGGAGACTGTAGCCCTTCGGTCACGCCGGCCACCTTTCAAGTGCTTGGCAGCCGCTGTGGCTACCAGCTGCCAAATTAGACAACACAGACGGAGCGCAGCGCCATCCTCCTGGAATATTCTGCGGGACTGTGGCGCTCTTGAAGGAGATACGACACAAGTCTTGATCGCAGGAGACAAGTAAGTCGAGTTGAGGGACCAGTGTGCCACCCCTCATAGAGCTCAGAGCGCACCCCAGAAAAATGGAATTCTTACGCTTCCCTGCTTCCGGCCCTGCCCGCTTCCCAGGGTTACCCGGCCCTTTCCTAGGAGTCAGTGGTGAGCTTGTGGAAGTTCTGCTTAGATGTCAGTATAAATGGAAAGCTCTGAATCACTACAGACTTCCCGTGTAGGAAAGGAAGCCAGTCTCCAACCCCTCCTAAGCATTTCTCCTACTAACTGTAGATTGAGGTAAAGAGGGATGTTCACGATCTACCCGAAGATGTTCATTGCAGCATTGTTTATAACGATGAAAGGAAGAACTGATGAAGGCCCATCATTAAGGAGCTGGTTGCACAAACTTTGGCGCACGGGGTGTAGGATGGGTTTCCAGCACACCAGTGGGGTCTGCTTGGGCCTTTGTCCTTGCTTCCCCTCTGCCTAGGATATTTTTCTCCAGGTTCATATGAGTGAACCCTCTACGTCATGTAGATCTTAACTCACAATTTACCTACAGTAAGTTTCTTCTTATCTTGTACACATTTCCTTATCTTAATTATTTGCATAACATTTATCACTACAGAGAGGGGGAGAGAGAGAGAGAGAGAATGAGAACTGGGGATTGAACTCAGGGCCTTACCACTGAGCTACATTCTCAGCCCTTGCTATTTTTTATTTTGAGACAGGGTCTCGCTAAATCACTAAGTTGCTTAGACTGTACTCAAACTTGCAATCCTCCTGCCTCAGCCTCCCAGAGGGCTGGGATTACAGGCATGTGCCCCACACCTGGCTTCTACTTGATGCATTTGTTGTCTCCTTCCCCTGTCTAAGTGCCAGGGCAGGGACCTTTATTTGTTGTGTATATGGCTGGGTTCCTGACGCCAAGAAGAGAACCAAGGCATAAGCAGGTGATCATTAAACACGGTCAAACCTCATTGTTGATGGATTTCATATTTGCAAACTTGTCTACTCACTGAAATGTATTTGTTGTTCCCAAATCAACACTCACAGCACTTTTGCAGTCACTCACAGCCGTGCAGAGTGGTGAAAACCGGGAGTCACACATTCCCAGGGAGGTCAAACAAGAGGATGCTGCACCTCCTGTTCCAGCCTCATGCAGAGCTGACCAGCGAATGAGGCAGAGGGACAGAGTGGGGGGGCATAAGAAGCCGCAGCCCTGGGGCCACCTGGACAGGTTGAAATCCCTGCTGTGGAACCTGTAAGAGCCATCTCACGCTTCCACTGGCCGAGATCGTCAGAAGAGTCACTAAATCCAGCCCGTGTTCTACTTTGTAAAATAAACAAAATAGACTCTCCTGAGAGTTTTTAGGGTTTTAGGTCATAATTGGTGTGTGATGGTAATGATTCAGTATTTGCTAATTGGGTGTTTCCGGAAACCTTATGCACATATAGTACAGCATGAAGGCAAATACCATACGGAACAAGAACTTGGGATCTTGTTGGGTAAAAGTGGACAGGAGGGGTGCACAGAGGCCATGGGACCTGAGCATGGTTTGAGTGGCGCCACCTCTCTGGCCACCTCCCTGCCCTCTCTTCCCTGCATCTCCACTGGGTCTTGGTCTCAAGTAGGAAGTCAGGTGGCGCCCAGAGGGGGAAAGGCCAGCAGAGAGGATTCTGGGGACTGGGGACCTGTCCTCCCTACATGTGAATCGAAGCTCATCCTGCGCTTTGCTTCTGCAGGAGGGAGGACAAGCTGCGCATTCAGAATGGCTGGCTGTGCCACCTGGCACCGGAGATCATCCGCCAACTGTCCCCCGACACGGAGGAGGACAAGCTTCCCTTCTCCAAGCACTCTGATGTCTTTGCCCTTGGGTAGGTGGACCCCATCCTGGCCTTCAAGAGCTACGGCTTGGGCAGAGGGCAGTTCCCAAGCCTTCCATTGTTTTGAAAGGACCATGGCACCTGGCTGTGGGGCTGGATTTCTGGGTGAGGTTGGGAGGATCTGGATGGGGTGACACCCTCACCCTAACCCACCTGCATGCTCATCTTCTTACCAGTTGTATTGCCAACACACATTTCCTCATTTGCAAAATAGCTGTTTACTGGATGCCTGCTGAGTGCTAGGACTGCAGCGGATGCTAGGATACAAGATTCAGTCTTGTATTAATTATCTAGTGCTGCATAACAAATGACCCCAAAATTCAGCAACCTAGAGCATGTATTATCTCACATTCTGTGGTCAGGAGTTGGGGCAGCTGAGCTGAGTGGTTCTGAGCTGGCTAAGGTCTCTTGCAGGGTTGGAATCCAGATATCAACCAGGCTTCTGTCTCATCAGAAGGCTTGATGGGCTGAGGCACCTGTCCAAGGTTAGGAGGAAGCCTCTGCTCCTCACCATCTCCTACCTGCTGCTTGAGTGAGCTCACAGCCTGGCAGCAGGACCAGGATCTGACTACTCTCAGAAGTTACATAGTGTCACTTCTACCACGTACTCCTTTTTTAGAGATTTTTTTGATTGATGCATTATATATATACATATATATGTATATATATACCTATCTATGGGGTATACTGTGATCTTTCAGTACAGGTGCACATTGTATAATGGTCAAATCAGGTTAAATAACATATCTGTCACCATAAGCATTTATTATTTCTTTATGATGAGACTATTCGAAACCCTCTGGTCCAGATGTATCTTGTTATTGTGGTGATTACATTTATGTATTAAATGCTCCCACCATATTTTTACTTGTTGGAAACATTGCTAAATACAACCCACACTCAAGCAGAAGAAAATTAAGCTCTGCCATTTCAAGGGCAGAGTATCAAAGAATTTGTGTGGACATATTTTATTTTGTTACATTTATTTATTTATATTTTTTGCAGTACTGGGGCATTCTACTACTAAATTACATCCCTGGCCATACTTTAGATTTTTTTTTTTTAAATTTTGAGAGGGAATCTCATTCAGTGTCTAGACAAGGCTCAAACTTGCAATCCTCCTGCCTCAGCCTCCCTCTGTGCTTAGATTACATATAGGGACCACCACATCTGGTTTAGACTCATATTAAACTCTTTACTCTTTCTTGTCTGGTGGAAGACAGACAAGGAAACAGTTAGCTTTAGCAAAAGGTCCTACATGCTGTGCTGAGAATAAATAGCACTATGGAGATATGAAAGGAACTAGGTCCAGCCTGGGAGATCAGGGAGGATGTCCAGGAGGAGGTGACAGCTGGGCCTAAAATGGAGGCTGGATACAAGGGTGGAGGGAAGCGTTCTGGATAGAGGGAATGGATGAATGTATGAAAAGGTACAAAAGCCAAAGAGAACCAGTTGCCCGCAATAGAGAAACACAGCGTGGGAGACAGGAAAGGGAGCTGATAGATGAAGAGTTGGGGAAAAAAGTGAGGCTGAGGGTGGTGAGATGAGAGATTAGGGAGGAGGTGGGCTCCATCCTGCAGCTACTCAGTGTAAGAAGGAGTCTTCAGTTCGTCTCCTGGCACTAGGGAACCATTGGTGGTTGGGAAGCAGAGAAGTGGCAGAGTCATGATCTGAGTTCTGGTTCAATCAGACCATGCTGTGTAGAGAATGGAGTGGGGAAACACATGCTTGAGACTGGGTAGTCAAACGTAGGAGAAGTGCTGGCGGCCCCCATGGAACCCACACCTGGAGGTCTACTGGCTGAGAGTGAACAGAAGAAGCATTCAGGGGATGGAAGTGCTCGCCCTCAATGATAGGGTGAACCTGAGTGGTACCCAGATATATGCCTTAAGCAAGTGGGTAGAGAGTGGTGTCATGCACCAGGCTGTAGGGGTGAGGTGGGTCGGGGTGGACCAGGGAGGCAGACAAGTCAGGTGTGGACAACGGTGGGTTCGAGCAGCATTGGAGATAACCATGGAAACCAGCCAGCATGCTGCTAAAACTACGCTTCTAGAGTTTGGGAAAGAAGCATCTAGGATTTATCCACAGAGAGATAGTAAGTAACTACAGTCATGACAGAGAGGAGATGTCTTTGAAAGGGTACAAGGACATTGAGTCCAAGACGCAGCCCCGGGATGCAGGGCAGAGCGCCCTGAGCAGGTACAGCCAGAAAAGCTTCATCACTCCCGTCCCTCCAACGACCACGCTGTTCCTTGGCTTGTGTGTGAGGGCTGCGGGCCGCTGCAGATGTGTGCAATTAGCCTTCACACCACCGAGACCTGTTAGAGAAACAGCCCCTCCCCCACCCCTTCTCCTCACCATCAACTCCTGCGGGGGCGTTCGTGGGAAGATCACAGCTCCCAGCATCTGTCGCCTGGGCCCCTTTGGAGGCTGCCACTTGCCCTGATTAGTTAATGCCCAAATCTTCATCTAGTTAGACATCGTTAGCTGAAACCAAATTGCAATAATTAAGTTGGTATAGTTTAGTGTAAATTTAGCCAGAGGAGGGGGGAAATATCATTAACAAAAGGTACCAAAGTGAGTAATTGGTTTTCCACTGGAATGTTCATCTTTTAGCAATATTTTTTTTTTTTCTCCTCAAAGTGCATTTCTCTGAAAAGTTGGGTTTGAAAGGAAGTTTTAATGAGGCTTTTATTTCTGACACTGCTGAATTGCGAAGGACCTGGCGCTCTTGGATTCCTGCCAATTAGGAGCACCCTGTTGCTTGGGAACCTCAGGCTCAGGAATGACTTAGAACAGAAATGAACTTTTAAAGGTGTGCTGAGCACCGAGTTAAGCTCTTTGTGTGCACTGTCTCATGCAGTCTTTACAAGCACCCTTCAAAGCAGGTATCATGTTATTCCCAATTGGAAGCTGGGGAAACTGAGGCTACAGATGACTCCAGAATTTGCTTTAGTGCAATTAACGGTGGGGCAGGGGCTCGAACCTGGACTAGCCAAACTCCACAGTTGGAGGTTTTCACCATGGAGCCTCCATGGGCTTGGGAGTTACACCACCCTGCTGTTCTCAGCTGTAAATCAAAGATAGTGAAACCATTAATTAATTAGTAAGGCATCCTAAGAATTGAGCAAGAAAGTGTCTCTAAGGTACCAAGCACAAGGAAGAACTCTGGAAAGGCACCCTCTCCTTCCACACGAGTGCTCCATGCAACCCACTTGGAACTCATTCACCAGCTCCAACCCTCGGCTGCAAGGTTGCACTTCAAAATTATCACTTCCCTGATAGCAAGGGACTCCTGTTTGGCAGGGAGTATAAACTGCCTGGCCAGTGGCACAGCCCTGGATCTGTTGTCCTGGGCTCCACTTCTGGCTGCCTGTCTTCTTTACTGTGTAATCCTAGGTAAGGCAGACTCTTCCTGAGCCTCAGTTTCCTCATCCATGAAATAGGGATAACAGTGATGCCTCCTGTTTTAAGATGTAGGTTTAATTATCGTTCAGGTATGATGAGGCCAACAGATGAGGAGACACTGTTGAAAAGATGGTTTGTCAACCACAGATCTCATAAGGAGGGGACCACACCGTGCTGTGTAGAGGTCCCACGGGGAAGTGCTGGTCAGGAGGCAGAGGGAGCAGGAAGATTATGTGGGCAAGAGCCTTTCTTCGTGGTTTTCTCTGGAAGGTGCAGGTGGGGCAGGGTGAGCAGGCTCAGAATCAACTCCTTGGGATTTCAGTGGGCACTGTGTGTAAGGGCTGAAGAGCGCTGGCCCTGAGGGTGAAGTCCTGGTGTAAGAAGTGTTGGGCGTGTTGCTAGGTCAGAGGTACACTCACAAGCAAGTCCTTCCTATCTACAGGAACTAGCTGCCAGCAAGGGCTCAGGTGGTCAAAGCATCAGAATAACAAAGTATTTTAGTTACTTTTCTGTCATTGCTGAGACAATATACCTGATGCCAAAAATTAAGGAAAGAAAGGTTTATTTAGCTCCCAGTTGTGGAGGTTTCAGTCCATAACCAGCTGGCTCCAAGGCAAGGTGGCACATGGCAGAGGGCAACAGTTCATGGCAGCGGAAAATAGCAAAAGCAACAAGAGCACAAGGAAGGAGCAGTAGCAGAGAGCAAGCCTGTTTCCCTCCCTTACACTGTATGCAAACTACCTGCCCCAGGGCAGGTGTAGCACTCACACCCATAATCCCAGCACTGGATCATGGATCAGTCAAAAACTCTAGAAACCCGTCCCATGACTGGGACTAAAGCATGAGGCTTTAGGGGGACATCTAGACACAAACAATGACACAAAGCATGCTTCATACACCTCCCCAGCAAAAGGTTGAGAACTGTATCTAGCTTGGAATACTAAGCAGTATTGTTTATCACGGTCACTCGAATCACACAGCACCTTCTCTAGAGAACTTCCTGGCCATTAACCCAATATGCCGATACCTAAGCATCACCCCTCCCCCAAGCCCAGAGGATGTGGGGTCAGGTAGGAAGACGATGCTAATGGAGAACCTAGGAATAGTTAGTTGCTTTACGCAGTCCTCTGGGCAGTGAAGAGAAAAACAGAGGGCTTTGTGTTCTTTCAGGCACATTTACATAAATTATGTTAGAGTGGAGGAGAGATCATTTCCTAGGATTGTTTCAGATATTTCCTGAGCTGGGGAATCTGGGTCTCAGAGAACTGAGATCTATCCCCATGGTACAATTCAGTGACACCCAGCATCCTGTGCTCATCTATCACTGTCCTCATGCTGTCCAGGCCTCACGGCATCACTCCTGCACAGCCCAGCCCATCGCCCCATCCATGGCCATGTGCTGCTCACTGGGGCGATTGCATCTTCCCTCATTACAATGTCATGATTTATAAAACAGACAATAACACAGGAAATCACTCGAAGATAATTCTAGCCCTGAATTGTTCCAGTGTTCAGCATCCCATATAAGCATCGTCCTACGGCACTTTCACCGCTATTGTCAACTAACAGCCAAGGAAAGCTCCACTTAGAGAAGCACCCTCCCTAGCCTCATACTATACTCATAGGAATGTAACCAGTCTGATTCTCAAATCTTTCTTTTTCTTCCTCTCTGCGAGTCAACACTCCAGTTCACACTTAAGAAACACAAATACGAAAGAGGAAAGAAATCCTACCCTAACATCCGGAGTTATCTATTATTAACATTTGGGGTGTTTCACTTTATCCTCTTGCCCATACATCCATACATATCTGATTTTAAAAGGAGTAACATCAGATCCTATATATATATATATATATATATATATATATATATGGTCTCACATCCTGCTTATTTCGTTTAAAAATGATCTATTGAGCATTTTTAATGGCAGCAACATTTCTTTGAAGTGTGTTCATAATAATATAGCATTCCATTTCAATTGATGAATTTGCCATAATATGTACACTCAATTCCTATTATTGAGCGATTGTTTCTACTGTTGAGCAATTATTTCTGCTTTCTTTCAATATTATATATAATACTGTAGAGAACAACCTTATTAATGAATATCTTTTTCCCAAGTTATTCACATACGGTGGTTTCCTAGAATTGCAAATATAGAGTCTGAGGTTGTAACCACATCATAATAAACTACCCAGTCTGCATTTTGATTCATTTTAATTCAAGCTCCAAAGAAGGTATCCTGGGACAAGCGTGAGTTCTAAGCCATTAAGAGAGCTTCAAGTGTGTCTCGGGGGGAGATGCCAACCCTGCAAAGAGGAAGCTCAGGAGGACTGCTGGTCAGCCCAGAGGCTGGCTGGGTGGGCATTGGTGAGCAGGGGCTCCAGGGTCACAAGTGACATGCCACACCAACACTCCTGTAAAACATCTGCCAACAGCACAATCTGGTATGAACTCCATGCCAGGGAGTGGCCTTTCAAGACCCAACCAGCAGAGGCGATAATCTGGCAGATGGGCACAGGGATGAAACCCAACCTCAGCCAGATCGGCATGGGAAAAGAAATCTCGGTAAGTCCCAGGAGAGATCAGGTCTGGGACGTAAGGGGAGAACCAGATGCACGCCTGCACTATCTTTTTAACTGTGTAAAGTTACAAATGCTTTCCCCGAAGGTGACCCAAAAAAGTACATCCTGCAGCCTTAGAACAGTTTGGAGTTTAGAGGGCAAACATCTCTGCACTATGCCTGCAATTTCAGGTGTCTACCACTAGAAGCAGAGTAACCCTTGGTTAGGTTTTTCCCAGCAACGGATTGCTAGGTCAGATAAAAGAAAAGAGCCCTTCTTTTTCTGTTATATTTTTAAAGATATTTGTTAAAACATCAAAAATGTTTTGGTGTTAATTTTATTTTCATCTGCACAATAATTGTAAGTCATTGTCCAACTCAGACTATAAATTAAGAATCTTCTTCTCAAACACAGCAGGAGGAATCCTCTTTTTTGATCAGAAGACAGATAAGTCAGGGAGGTAGTAATTACCTGGTATGGTTTTCAGGATTACCCACCTCAGGTTTCCTTTCTTAGATGAGGAAATTACTCAAAGCAACTGGCCTTGAATGGTACTTAGGTTATTGGGTTGTGGCTAGAGATTTTAGGATTCCCTTCCATCCCTCATTTTTGAGAAAAGTGCCAAGAAAACTTTTCGGGTGTATTGCTCATCGTAGAGCCTACCTAGTTTGTTAGATGGGCTCAGATAGTAGGTGGGAAGAAAGCAGGATGGATGATAAAGGAAAGGCGACTGAGTGCGTTGATGTGGACGGATGCCTGGTGGGTGAATGGGTGAACGATGGCGGGATACAGAAGTGGGAAGGTGGGTAGACAGTGGGGAGCCCCAATGAGGAGCCAAGCAGGAACTAAGTCACCATTTATGTTCACTCATTGGTTTCTTTTAGGACATTCTTCTCTTCTGCTGGGCCTTTGAGCAAGAAGAGAGGCCCACTTTCACCAAGCTCATGGACATGCTGGAGAAACTGCCAAAGCGAAACCGCCGCCTGTCTCACCCCGGACATTTCTGGAAGTCTGCAGAGTAGGTTTCCGCCCTCTGCCTCTCTCCCCAAGCCTTGGTCACTTTTTGCCCTTTCCCTAACTGCTCTCCTCATCAGTCCTTTGCTTTCATTCCCACTCCCCCAGCACCACCCTCTGCTACAAGGTTTCTGTTCAGGACCTGTTGTTATGGGCCTTGGGTCCTGTCGTCAGTCTGTGGCTGTTAAGGCTCCCTCGTTGCCTCCCTCTTCCTGGTGAAGGCTGAGGCCCATAGAGTCTGAGTTGTGGCGAGGTGGTACCCTGAGGCTGCCAGGCCCTATCTGTCCTGTGTCAGTGATCCCCCCAGCAGGCCTGGCTTGATCGAAATCTCCCTCCAGGCCAGCAGCCTGCCCCATCATGGCAGCTTTTGACTCTGAGCATCCTCCATCATTAGAGCACAGACACAAGAAAGGTTCAGGGCTGGGGATTTAGCCTAGTGGCACAGCGCCTGCCTGGCAAGCACGAGGTCATGAGTTTGATTCCTGGTACCAGGAAAAAAAAAAAGAAAGGTTCGTAGCACTTCCTTGCCCTGAGCGCCTCTGTGTCCTCACTGTGAGGCCTCATGCCTCCCTGCCTTGCTCCTGCCTGCAGACCCAGACCCTTCCCTGTGATCATGAGTGGGGCATCTCTCCCTGGGCTCCTTTTCAGCCCAGCCTCTGGGATCTCTTTAGAGCTGAGAGGGAGCGGGAGACCCCCAGAGCCCCAGAGGAGGCTGCGTGCAGGCCCTGCTATGTTCTGCCTGCAAGGTGCTCCCAGGCACCTGCATGTGCTCACTCACACGCTCTCAGGCACACACACATGTGTTCACACACCCACACAGTGTACCGGGACACTCACTCAGACATAGACGCACATAGCTGTACACAGAACCTTCCGTAAAAACACGTCTGTGTAACCAGCCTGTACACATAGGCAGACTCAGCTACACACATGTGCAGGCACACAATCACATATATGACACACAAGCACACACGTGCTTGCGCTGCTGTCCATGCCTGCACACAGACACATGTGCTCAGGTACATACAGCTGCAAGCCCCCGCCTGCATGCACAGCTACACATAGCTGCTATCCAGGTCTCCCCATGGGGCCCTGCTGAAGACACCCAAAGTCCTAGGGCATCAGGAGACCCTCCTGTAGTCTTCACCCCAATTCTTGAACATACTGAATGTAGGGGATTGAATCTCCTCTTCCCCTCGGGCTGTTAGAACACAGACTTCCCCATCAGGCACACATAAACTGGAATTGCCCCTCCACTGCTCAATAGCTGTGTGACCTTCAGCAGGTCACTTGACCTCTCTGAGCTACAGTGTTATGCTGTGCAAAGCAAGGGCAGTTAAACCTTCTAGTAAGAGAGCCATGAGGGTCCAAGGGGGTCTCGTCCTCAGGTGCTTAGCACAGTGCAGCCCAGGTAGCAGGTGCTGACTGTATCCTGGCAACCACTGTGCACCGGGAAGGACTGTGGCCTGCTCCTGCTCTGCTGACCTAGTAGGATTTAGAAACAATTGGATGTAAACACAGAGAGAGGGAAACATCTGCCCCCGAAAGGAGTGCAAGCAAGTTGGGGAACTGATGTTGAGGCTCTGCAAGGGACTCTGGTGCTTTAACATTCAGGGTGCATTTAGGCCATCATCCTGTGACCTCTGTTCTCCTGAGGTCAGGAAAAAAGGGCAGGCATTGAAGTGCAGGGAGGGGCTTAAAGCTCACTGGGTGGAGGGGGAGAAGGGGCCTTCCTTTCTCTTCCTTCAGCTGCAGAATAGGGCTAGGAAAACAAGACAAGACGTGTTCTGAGCTCATGGAACTTTAGGTCCAATGGAATTTTCCATTCATTCTGGGTTGTTATTATTCAGCCTGTGTATACTGAACATCTATTAGGTGCCAGGTACCTCTCCTTGAGTGAGAATATGGGGACAAACAGAACAACTGAGGTCCTTTTGCTGCTGTGGGTGGTAACCCTCACTTCCTAGCAGACTACCCTATGGCTCCTGGTTTCCCACTCTCATCCTGTATCTCCAGCCTTTATCAAGCCTCCTCCAGCTCATGCAATGGATGGCCATCCCTGTCTCAGTCCCAGAGGCTACATCCTCCAGTAGGAGAGTTCTGGGTTCAAATCCAGCCCTGTTACTTCCTGGCTATGCACCCTGGCTATGCACTTCCTGGCTATGCAGACTTGCGCAGGGGCTGCCCCGCACGCACCCCAGACTTGCGCAAAACACTTAACCTCTCTGAATGTCCGTGTTTATCTGTGGAAAAGGTACACTGGGCCTATATTGCAGACTGTTCTTGGGCTTTGAATGAGGGCACAGAGCCTGGCACATAGTAGGACCTCAGGTAACAGAAGTCCGTTTCCCTCAGAGAGGACAGGAGCCGCTCATCTGAAACCACCTGAGCCCTGAGAAGGAGCCAGGATGGCATGGCCACCTCTGCCTGCCTTCTCATCCAGCTCTCTCTTCTCTTCACACTCTAGGCTGTGACCGTGGGACAGTTGGATGGCGCTCAGCCACCTCAGCTCCAAGCCACCTCTCCTTCCCTGCTCTGCTCTCTGCCAGCTCAGGAGGCCAGAGGCTCACCGTCGGAGGTCCCAGCCCAGCCAGCCTGGGGCCACTGCACACCGGCGCAGGGGCTGCCCCGCACGCACCCCAGACTTGCGCCCTTTTCCTCAGGCAGAGTCAGGAACCCCAAGCTAGGACCGAACTGGAGCCAGGACAACGCAGGATTGATGAGTGAGGTCCAGGGGGTCACAGCGTAGACAAGAAAAACACAGGCTGAGCGCGGAAGCCCAGGCTGTGCAGACGAAGGCGGGAGACCTCCTGGGTCTGTGTGCACAGGTGTCATCGCATGGCCTCTTTTTGCTTGGAAAAGCAGGGGCCAGACTGCCCTGGCTGCAGAGTGTCCCGGGCTGCTTTTGTCTCTGGGAGAAGGAAGCAGAGCAAGCACCAGCTCTCTCAAGGCTTCTTGGCCAAAGTCACGGTGGGGAGGAAGGGTTGGCTAAAGCTCATTTATTTAGAAACGTCTGTTTTCAGAGCCCCCAGCCAAGGCTACAGTGCTTCGTGGCACCTTTGCACATAGCTCAGGAAGGCAGCACAAGAGTTCTGCACGTCTTTTGAACTCCAAGTCTCTCAGGGGTACCAGTTTCTGGGTTCCACCTTTGCTTGCTGTTCCACAAAAGTGTCATCCTGTCTCATCTCACTGCCCCACCCTCCTTTTGCCGTTTGGAAAGCACAGTGGCTTGCAAGCCAGAACGTCTTCGGGGGGTTCCCTAGAGCTCCGTCATTCATGACACCCGCAGGAGTCTGGGCTCTGAGGACCAAGGCTCTGGGGAAGGAGTTGCAGTACATTCCTTCCCCTCCCTCTTTGGCGCTGACACTCTGGAGTTGGTCTACCCACAGCGGTGGATATGGGTCCCCAGGGTGTGATGCACTGGGTTACACGGTTGTACACATAATAGCCCATTTGTGAAGGGCTTCTCCGCCTCTCGTGCTTAGTAAGTCCTTTGGGGGAGGTAAGGAAGGGTGGGTGTTTTAGCCCTGCATTCACATGCTAGCCTAGTTCCCAGTCCTCAAGTGGCCTCCCCATCAGGAGCCTGTGTCCCTTTGCCCATTCGTGCTTGCTCAGTGTCCCTCTCACCCCTCTCCTGGTTTATCAGCTGGGCCAGTGGCTTCTTCTAGGGTTCCCCCATTGTCCTGTGTGAAGGGTGCTGTGGGCAGATTGGATGTGGACAGTGTGTCCATTTCCCAAAGCCCCGACCCCACTGCTCTGACCCAGTGTAAAAGGGAAATTCATCCCCAAGCTGAGCAATTGTAGAGGCAGCTGAGCAGCTGGAAGGATGCCCAGGGTCACCCCACTGTCCCTCTGGACTTCCTGAGTGCCACTGGCCTTGTCATTTTATAGCTACCGTCTGATCCAGGCATCTCCCTCCTGGAGAGAGGAACTAAGACTTCAAAACCCCTACCTGTGCTGAGACTCAGAATTCAACCAGACATACATACGGGGATCTTCCCCACCTTGGATGGCCCCAGACTGGTCCATGCTCTGGGGACCTGCCTGCTTCCCAGCAAGGAAGAATGAGAAAAGTTGTGTTTCCTAAGAGCTGGACCCCAGGGAGACCCTCGTACCTCCCCAGGGCCCTTTCTACATTGCCTTTCCGGTGATCTCAGCTGCCTGGGACCAGGGCGCTCAAAACTCCATGTGGGCAGTTCTTAAGTGGGCATCTTCTAGGGACATTTATACCTCTGTGGTCCTTGGCTTGGTATTAGTGTATCTTGGAAAAGGTACACTGGGCCTATATTGCAGACTGTTCTTGGGCTTTGAATGAGGGCACCTCACATAAACCTTCAGGGGTCCTCAGAACTTGGGTGTTGCAGGAGACAGCTCTTGGAGGCCATCAGACAAGCTCCCCTATGGACCAATCCTGAGCTGGGCCTGGACCTTCTTTGGCTCTGCCTGCAGCCTACTGAGCGCCTGAAACCCAGCCCCTGATTTCTCTTTCATCCCACCAGGATGCCATGGGTCCACAGATCAGTCTTGGAGAGGAAACAAGAAAGGGAAGGGGTAGCCAGTGTTCCGCTACTCTAAAGCTGAATTGCCACAAGAACTTGAACCTCCTCTCCTTGCCCCCTTGTTTCCCCTTTCTGTGCTACAGTGACCAACCACAGCCTTTGACAAGGCCCGGCAAGGTCTCCAAAGGACGACTTTTCCATGTGTCCATGGAACACATGCCCCTCTTTGGGGTTAAGCATAGGGATGGGTGATGCAGGGAGAAACCCCGTCCTGACCTTCTCTTGGGGCTTCTCTTCTTTGCAGACCAGAGGTCTTAGGTCTGGCCCTGGGTCCCATGTCACCTCTTCTTGACTTCTTGCTCTTTCTTCTCCTTCTATGCTCTGCCCCCACCTGCCAAGATCTCTGCTGCAGCCACCTGGGCACATCCGGGCATCCTCTCAGCCACCCTCTCCCACCCCAGCTGTATCACCACGGCTTGTTAGTGCCCCCTTTAATTTACACACATTGAAGTCCTGGGAAAAGAAAACACTCCTTTCCCTGCTGGCCTCAGTCCATTCATGATGAGGGATGGGGTCCATCAATTCATCCATCCTTTGCAAGGAGAAAGAGAAGACAGGATGCTATACGTTTTTCCATCCTAGCTGCCAACCTGTCCTGCAACTCCATCTGTACAGTGCACCCAGCTAAGATACGTGTGTGTGTTCAGTGACACAAGTCATGCACTTGACAGAGAGTTGTTTCTTTCTGAGCCTCGAGTTCAGCAAACTCTTCTTTAGAGAGGCTGCCCCAGAGAGCCATCCGCAGAGTGAGAGTCATCCGAGGGCCTTGCCTCTGAGAGAAACATCTCTTTTTCTTTCTAGAACATGTGGCCTTGCCCACTGAATCCCATCCATTCCTCCAGCTCATAGGTCTCTCCTAAAACAAAAGACCTTCTGTGGAGACATCTGGTCTCCCCCTCCCCAGAGCCAAACTAGAAACTCCAAACCCCCAGTTGTTTTTTGTTTTGTTCTGTTTTCTGGTTTTCCTCTTTCTGGTCAAGGAAAAAAACATCTAATCTTGTCACAGAGGTCCATCCTTTCTCACCACACCCTTCTTGTCTTCTTCCGCCAATGGAAGCCCTTGACTGACATCAGCAGGCGGATTCCTGAATCCAGTCAGCTTTGTCCTTTTCCTTCCCCACCTCCACCCCGTGATCAAACACACCACGGACCCCAACCACACACGCATCCAGACTCCCGTCACGTCTCGAGCCCTTTCCCCACCAGGAGAGGCACACAGAGGAAATGGCCAAACTCAGCCCCAGATAATCACTGCCCTGAGGAATCCAGAACTGAGAGTCAAAACTTACCTCCTGAGGGCCACGCCCAGCCCCCCAAATGGTTTTTACTTGTATTTCATTGGAGAGGAAGATTCAGAAGGAAATAATATCTCATGACTTGGGGACATTCTGTGAAATTTAAAGTTCATTTCCCAATACAGAATTGTAATGGGACACACCTGTCTGTTTGTATATGTCCATGGCTGCCTTGTGTCACAATGATGGAGCTCTTTGCAGTGGAGGCAAGGCAGCTCACGGAGCCTAAAATATGTGCAGTCTTGGCCTTGACTCTCTTTTGAGGCCTCTGATAGGACTTACAAGAGAATAAATTCACTTGTGTATCCCAGAGGAGGGACGGAAGCTACAGAGAGGACTGTTTCACACTTCTAAGGTACAGGGGGCTCCCAGGAGGTGACAGCTCCCTTCGTGGGACAGATGTGAGCAGATGTTGAACACGGGGCATGTACCATAGGCAGGAATTCAAGCTCTGGAGGCTGCATGAAGGAGTTGGGCTTTAAGACCACATTGCTTTGCTTGGGCTGCTGATAATAAGCCATACACCAAGCGGTTTAAATAGCAGACGTTTTCTTCTCACAGTTCTTGAGGCTGGAAGTTCATGATCAGTGTGTCAAGGCTGCTTTCTGGCAAGTCTCTCCTTGGCTTGCAGATACTGCCTTCTCATTGTGACTTCACATCCACAGTATCTCACTCTATAAGGACTCCACCTTTATAAGAGTTAAGACCACACCCCTTTGGGTAATTTAACCTCACTTAATTCTTTAAACGCTCTCCCCAAATACTGTCCCATTTGGGATTTGGACCTATGCACATGAACCTGAACACATTTCCTTCCCTTTCACCACCCCTTGGGATTTCTAAGGCTCTGGAGTATTTTTCACTACTGGGGATTGAACCCAGGGCCTTTGCAATGAGCTACATCCCCAATCCTCCTTATTATTTGTTTCTTTTTCTTTTTGAGACAGAGTCCTGATACATCACTAAATTGCCCGGGCTGGGATCAAACTTGCAAGTTTTCTGCCTCAGCCTCCCAGAGTGCAGGGATTAGAGGCATGCACCACCATGCCTGATTAAGGATCTGGATTTAAAGAACCTTCTGGGGCAACACTCCCATCTCTGGCTTGCTTTTCCTCCACTGGGCTCAGCATTGAGCCCAGATATACCCTCCTTGTCCTTGTTCCCTGTCATCCTTCACCCACCCATCCCCCCAAGGACTGGCCTTGTTTCCAAGCATGCCATCGACATACCCAAGCCTCATTCCCCTCGTATTAGCTTCCTGCAGTTGTTATAACAAAATCACTGCACATCGCATTGCTTGGCCAGAAACCACAGCAGTGTATTTTCTCACGGTTCTGGAGGCCAGAAGTCCAAACGCAAAGTATGGGCAAGGTTGTGCATCTTTTGTTTTTCTCCGGTACCGGGAACCAAACTCACGACCTCGCGCTTGCCAGGCAGGTGCTTTTGCCGCTGAGCTAAATCCCCAGCCCAAGGTTGTGCATCTTTAACCCCTGAACAGGCATCCTCCTTGCCTCCTCTTCCTTCAGGCAGGTACTGGCAAACTTTGGCACTCCTCAGCTTGTGTGATGTCACCCCAATCTCTTCTCTCTCCTTGTACACCAGCCTCTTGTGTCTCTGTTTTCATGGCTGTCATCTTATAAGGCTGCCAGTCATGTTGGATTAAGGGCCCTCATCCTAGCTAATTGCATCCACAATGACCCTGTTGCCAAATCAGGTCACATTCTGAGGTCCCAAGGGTTAGAGTTTCAGCATATCTTTTTTGGAGGGGTGGCTGGGAGAGGACCCCTCTCTCAGGAGCTTTTTCTTGTACCTTGATAGGTCACCTTAGTTCCTCCATGATAGACCCCTGGTCCCCCAGGTCCTAGATTCCCCAGAACCCCTGGGACACAAGGGCCAAGCCACCATCGTCCACTTCTCAACCCTCTCTTGAAGAACACGTCCCATCACTGAGTCCCAGCAGCTGCAGATTTCAGCTCCTTGTGAGAAGTTGGGCCGCCTGTGTCTGGGTGGTTCATCTGCAGGGAGACAGTCACTTGAGGGCATGTCATGGTGTAGTCTATAGGTGTTGGTGGCATATGTCTGATTTCCTTTATTCTCTTGCTCAGGGGCAAAGGAGTGACCTTGGAGAACTGGCCTTTTGTCTTTCCTTCTTTGACTTTGCCTGGGAAGTTTCCTGGCAGGCCCCTGAGGTCACACTTCCTGGGGTCCAGTGTCACCTCATCCATCCTAGCTGCCTTCACCTGCACCCACCTGTAACAGAACTTTCTTATACTCCAAGAGAAGGGAAGCCATGAGTATCAGGCTGGGCCCCGGAATACGGAAGCCACCTTGGGCCTCTTTGCTCTGGTCAGAGCTCCTCTAATTAGGAACAAGTCACTGGCTCCTTCTCAAGCCCTTTAACCCCTACCAATTCTTAGTTACCTGCTAAAGGGGACAGGAAGCTGGTGGAAGACTGCGGTTTCACTGACCTCCCAACTCGTCTTTGTGTCAGCTCTTAGCACAGTGCCGGGCACATAGTAAGTGCTCAATGGAAGTTTCCAGAATTCAGAGGTATAGAGGTGCTAGGTAACAGCACAGGCTCACACTTGAAATTCTTCTGCCTCAGCCTCCCAGAGTACCCACAGGAGGTCACAGGACTCTGTTGTCAAGGCTTGGTGGCACTAAAGTCCCATCTCTGTTGTGGATGCCGTGTCTTCCTTCCAAAGGCGTTTGCCAGGATTAACAAATGTGACTTGTGGAGTCCCATGGGTCAGGGCTCTGGGACATGTGGAAGACAGTAACTTTATAGCTCTAATAGTTGCTGTCCACTGAACACTTGCCATGTGCCAGGCCTGTGGTGTCCCCACAACAGTCCTGGGGGGCAGGTACTGTTGTCCCCACTTTAGTGGAACAACAGGGATGGAGACATAAACCAACCCACAAAGTTATGAGCCAACAATTTAAAAATGAGTCTCTAGGCTGTTCCGTGCCTAAGAACTCAGCCCTATCAAGTGCTCCTTGCCCTAGACAGCAGTGTCACAGTCCCTGATTCCCAGCTAGTAACCTGCAGAGAAGGAGGAGAAACAGGAAATCACAGAAGGGAGGGTGCAGGGTGCCCACTTGTCTTTCCAGACTGCCAGGCTGCCAGCAGTTGCCCGGATTTTCAGGAAATGTGCGTCTGCCAACCCTCCCCGTCCAAGCAACCCACACTTTCCACCCCACCCTCCCCCGCTCAGGCACTTAGCGTTTAACTGTGGTCCTGGGTTCCCAGGGGGCTGACTACTGAGAAACTTCTCTCTTGGATGGGAAGGGTCCTTCCTTCTGGATAAGTGGGATCATCCAGCCCTTCCCTGACACCCAAATTATGAAGGATTCATCTGGTGGGGTTGAGATGAGTCCTCCGCTGAGGACTGAACTCGAGCAAATGGGATTTGCCTACAGCATTCCTGATGTATGTAAGACCTTGTTTTCCAAATACACCTCATAGACCTGTACTTCCACGGATGTCTAGATGGACGCTGAGTTACTGAAAGGACCCTAGAACTAATATGCATTGGAAAGGCTTAGATAAAACAAGATGAAACTTGTTTTTTGATTGCAGGACTTGTCAGAGCTTTAAATGTGGTTGAATTTCTAGAAGACCAATAGCACCTTTGTACAAGGTCTTCCAGGCTGGCTTATGAATCCCCAAAAAGGACAAACTCTATGAGTTCAGCATGATTTCTTACCTGATGCTCAAAGAGCAAGTGTCCATGTTCTGGCCCACAGAGAAAAGCAGCTGGCCACTAGCATTTAGAGGCTACCTCCTTAGCGAGAGGAAAGGTACATAGGCCCCATCCATCTCTGACTCCCCAGAGGGTGGCATGTAGATAAATACCAGGTAGCTGATCCAGGGTGTATCCTGGAAGAGAGATGGAGGTGAGGGTCACTGGCTACAGCTGCTCCTGGTCTTTCATTCACTGGTGGTAGGAAAACCGGAGCCCCAGAAGAAGACAAAGGAGGGCAAATATATAACATTTCTACCCCTGATGCTACAGCCTGTGCTCTCAGCAGACATTAGTAATTGATCACAGCACACCTTCTCACCAGTCACAGACCCACCCATGGGAAATGAGAGCTACCATTTAAGAAGGACACATGTGACCATCCCTGGTCTCATGTTCCCCTCCCTATACAGCAGCAGAGTATGAGGAACAGACAGGGCAGGTAAATTCCTCCCTAGTCAGGTCCTTTCTAAGGGATAGAGGTTGGTTTAGAACTCAGGCCTCAGAAACTTCCAGAAGCCCAGTCATTTGGGCTGCTACTTTGTACACAGTCCATCAGGGCCTCATGGAAGAGTCAGTCAGGGAACTTGGAAAATGCAGAAAGATTTATTCCTAAAACCCCGAGTCAGATTTTATTTGATAATCTGCCTGCTGTTTGGAAAGAATCATTTATTCTCCAGGATGTTTTCCCACAAGGGCTGAACGCTACCCCCGGCCACATAACAGCTGGGCCGGGAGCCCGACTTCCTTGGCCCTGAAGAAAGATGGTATCATGGGCATGGTGGCGTGGGGCAGGGGCCACTTTCTTCTGAGGCAGTTTCTCAGAGCTCTGTAGTTCAGTCTGGGCTTCCGGGAACTCAGGATATGCTGCACAGAATGTTGAGGAAAAGGAATCTGACTCTTTACTCTTCGTTTTCTTCCCTGTGTGCAAGGTTCAGAATCCAGTTTTCACCCACATGGCTTTTGGGGCCCTAGTGGACCACTGGCTCCACTGTGGAGGTCCCAAAACGTCTCTCACAAGCAGCCTAGTGGCCACGAGGACCGTTCATGCTGCCTTTCCGTCTCCTTCCTCCCTCTGAGACCCCTGCCCACCCACCTCCTGCCTGAGGCCGTCCCCTCTAGACCACGAGCCAAGCAGAAAGTTACACAATAGTAGAGATGAAAAATAGCTGCCATGTATTTAGCTTAAATTAGCTCCAAAGAACGGCTCCCTCCCTCCACCGAGTGGGCAGCAGTTGTTTATGCCAACGTGCTATTTGCATCGTGGCTTCTTAGATTTGAAAGTCTAATGATTAAATACAAATCTTAGTTTTTCTTTTCCTCCACTTTAAAAAAAAAAAAAAAAAAAAAACAAATCAAAAGGTAAGGACATGGCTAAGTTCTTCTCGTTTAAAAATACCCTGAC